CACCCCCATCTACCAGTCTCGCTAGCACAAGCTTGCAGTCCCCACCACTTGGGAAGGCTGAAGCAGGATGATCCTCCTGTATTTGAGGCTAACCTGAGCTGTAATTAGACCCTGCCTCAAAAAGACAAACGGGCCCAGCATGGTGGCACACATCTTTAATCCCAGCACTCAGGAGGCAGAGGCAGAGGGTTCTCTGGAGGCCAGTGTGGTCTATAGAGCAGGTTCCAGGATAGTCGGGGCTACATAATGAGACCTGTCTCCAAAATCAAAACAAAAAGATAAGTGAACAGTTGCCATGGAAACCTAACCACTGGGGTTCAACTCACAGATTTCACATAAGGTGGAAAGAACAAACTTCATGAAGTCGTTCTCTGCCTGCCACATGTGCACTGTGGCACACATAAATGCATATTTACACAGCATATACTCATGTAAATGAACACAACAATAACACCTGCCGGGCATGGGGGCATATACCTTTACTTATTCAGCTCCTGGGAGGCAGAGGCCTGCAACATTTTAAAGTTGAAGGATAGCCAGGTTTACAAACTGAGTTCCTGGCTATCCAAGATTATATAGTGAAACCACGCCTCAAAAAACCAAAACAACAACCAACCAAACAAAACAAAACAAAACAAAAAAAAGTAGGGATTGGCTTGATGGCTCAGTGGTTGAAAGCAGTGAGTGCTCTTCCAGAGGAATGGGGTTTACACCCCAACACCCACATGCACCCATCTACAACTCTTGTCCCAGGGGATCCAATGGCCTCTGAGTACTGGACACAGGAGGTACAAATACAGTCAAGCAAAACACTCCCCCCGCCTCTCAATCTGTCTCTGTCTCTGCCTCTGTCTCTCTCTGTGTGCGCACTCTGTGTGGCCGTGTGCATGTGCAACCTCATCACTTGAGAGGCAGAGGCTGAGTTCAAGGTCATCCTTGGCTGCACTGCAAGCTCAGGGTCAGCCTGGGTTACATGAGACCCTGCCTACAATAACAACAACAAAACAGAAAGCTAATGGAGTATAAGAGGCATGGGATCAACTAACTCCCATAGGGTGTTAGCTCCCGCTGTGACCAAGCAGAGTTTAGGTGCCACCCAGTGGACGAATCTGACAACGGCTGAACTCAGTTGAGAAAGATTTGAAAAGCCTCTGTACCTGTCAGGATGGTGCCAAAGGAATTTTTTGTTGTTGTTGTTGTTGTTGTTATTTGCCATTTAATAATGGAATTTTTTTTTGAGGCAGCATCTCACCATATTGCTACGACCAGCCCGGAACTTGCTATGTAGATTAGGCTGGCTTCCCACCTCCACGGGCTGGAATACATTCCCAGTAAATGGCCATGATGGACAGTGTGCCTGTCACACCTGGTGGCTTACGCTAATGACTCACTGTTTAATTTATAGGGTTTACACTATGGAAATAATGCTAAACAAAATGCAAATTCTAGGAATTTCTGTGTTCAAATGAGTCCTGAAACGTTAAAGACAACTGACGGCAACAATTCACTTGGCTCAACAACTGCCACCAACACAGGAGCAGGTAGTGGTGGCTCCAAATGAGACGCCGGCCTTGAAGACAAGGACAGCAAAAGAGCCACTGGAAGCTGACAACCACCAAGGGAGAGGAGTCATTTGCTACTGAAGCAGTGGCTGAACAAGCTCAGCATGGAGTTTCCCACTCAGCACCTGGAGCAAACTGGACAGGAGAAAAAGCTTGGTAAGTGGGGGTTTTGTGAGCTGACTAGAAATCTGAAACTTGGCCGGGCGGTGGTGGCGCACACCTTTAATCCCAGCGCTCAGGAAGCAGAGGCAGGTGGACCTCTATGAGTTCGAGGTTAGCCTGGTCTACAAAGTTACACAGAGAAACCCTGTCTTGAACCTCCCCTCCCTGCCAAAAAACTACAACTTGTCCTTTAGAACTGTCAGTCTTGCCTCATGTGCCAGAGCAGGTGTGCTTACAAACACATGCGTGCTTGCACACACACAAATAGTTTTAAAAATCACAAAGTAATGGCATATGGCAAGCAGCGATGAGTAGCTTATGGGTTGCCAAGAGGTTCCAAAGTACTTCCCAAAGCCAAACTTGCACCACAAAATGTGGCACCACATTTGGCGTCTGCTGTCAGATCCTGCCTGGGAAGTATGCTCCATGAGACCCACTGCACCTGGCAATGCTGCCACTGGGCAACAGAATGGGCCTGTTCTCCTCTTCATTTGTTACACACCCAATGCTAAAGTTGACCAAACTGGGCTTTGAGGTTTTGCCTTAGCCTTCACCTTCTGACGGTTCCCACTGACTACCACTTCAAGCATCTCAAAAACTTTTTTGGTGGTGCACGCCTTTAATGCAAGCACTGGGGAGGCAGAGGCAGGCGGATCTCAGTGAGTTAGAGGCCAGTCTGGCCTCCAGAGTGAGTGCCAGGATAGGCTCCAAAGCTACACAGGGAAATCCTGTCTCGAGAGAGAAAAAAAAGGGAAGGTCAGTGGCTGGGTTCCAGCTTCACAGGGTCCATTCCATGTCCTCGTGCCGCCTCCTCTGGTGGTGCACTTCCATGCACAAATCCTGACTCACACATCCACATAAGTAAAAGTAAAATCAAGCCCTAGTTTACTTCTATACTGTGATACATGACCAAAAACAAGTCTTGGTAGGAAAATGGTTTATTTCAGATTACAGAAGTCAGAGCAGGAACTTGAAGCAGAAACCCTGAAGGAATGTGCCTAACTGGCAGGCTCACCTTTTTCATTTTTCAAACCTAAAAAACAAAAAAACAAAACAAAACCCAAACCAACCAACCTCCCCACCCCCACCCCGTCTCCCAAGTGCAGGGATTAAAAAGGTGTGTGCCACCACATCCAGTTCTTAGCTAGCTTTCCTATATACTCAAGGCCTACCTGCTTAGGTTGTCACTTTCCAAATCAGTTAGCAATTGAAATCAGGACTCGTATAAATGGCCACAGGCCAATTTGATGAAGACAATTATTCAGCTAAGGTTTCCTCTTTCCAGAAGACTCTTAAATTTGTGTCTAGTTGATTGATGAAACTGACACTTCACCCCTTGTCATTGTTGGCACACGAACACATCACTTTAATTAAAAAAAAGTTGTGTGTGTGTGTGTGTATGTATGTGTATAATTTATTTACTATGTATGCATATTTGCCTACACTACAGAAGAGGGCGCTGCATCTCATTATAGATGTTGTGAGCCACCATGTGGTTGCTGGGAATTGAACTCAGGACCTCTGGAAGAGCAGCCAGTGCTCTTACCATTTAAGCCATCTCTCTAGGCCCTTGTTCTATTAATGTAAGGAGTGCTCTTAACTGCTGAGCCATCACAACAGTCTTGAACATATACATCACTTCAAACCCTAACTTTTCCCTTTTTCCCCGAGATCTCATCTTAACCTGAACTTGATTCTTTAGCAGACAATTTCCAAGTGCTGGAAATGCAGGGGTCCCACCCCTGGTTTACACAGTGCTGGGATTGAACCCAGGGCGTTGGAGATGTTAGGTAGATACTACCAACTGAGCTACACCTCCAGCCCCTTTCTTTAAAAAGAAACAAAAATGCTATAATTTTTGGCAATCTCACATGTGTAACAACAACAAACATCTTGACCACACCCAGCTCTAGTCTCCTTCCCACTTCCTTCATTTTCTTTTATTATTATTATTTTGGTTTTTTGAGACAGGGTTTCTCTGTGGCTTTGGAGGCTGTCCTGGAACTAGTTCTTGTAGACCAGGCTAGACTCCAACTCATAGAGATCCGCCTGCCTCTGCCTCCGGAGTGCTGGGATTAAAGGCGTGCACCACCCCCAGCTTCTTTATTATTTTTTGAGTCCAAGTGAAATGCTGACTCATCTTGTTGCATCACTTGAGTTCATGAATTCAACAGCAAGACCCTGTCTCAAAGGAAACCAGAGACAAGGCTCGGAAGGATGACCCTCCAGTTGTTTCCTGAGTGCTGGGATTACAGATGTGTGCTAACACACCTGGATCCATCTTCCAGACAAGATGTCATGTAGCCTGGGTTAGCCTCTAAACAACCTGACTTCCCCGTGTAGCCAAAGACTGCTGTTGATCTGGCTTCAGTTGAGTACAGCTATGGCCAAGGGCAGCCGAAGGGAAAGAATGAAAACTCATGAGTAGCAGGAATCGAGTCATAAATGCTCCAGATGAAGGGCTAAACAGATGGAAATATTCCAATGGTGCTCACTGGTTGTTTATGCTGGCAATCAACCTTCCAGAAGCTGAACACTGCTTCTCCCATGTCTCCACGTTTAGTTTCCACTTACTTGTAATACATGGGAGAACCTGGAAAGTTCTGCTCTCATGTGAAACTCTATTGTCAGCTGGGGAGTCCTTCGGGACTATCTTCATTTAGTATGCCTTTCTTTATTATAACCCCATGTAGAATCAGCCCATCACTACTGAGGTCTTTTGGGTAAAAGCCAATAAATAAAGTAAACAAAAACAAGAAAACATCAAAACCCCAAACCAAACCAAACCAAACCCAAACCCAAGTTTTCCTGAAATTAAGACCTGAGCATCTTGCGTTTCTGTGTCAAGTGTCAGAAATTACTAACAAATGTACCCATGGATCCAAATAATCAGCTGAGACTCCTGGTGCCCAAGCTCTCAGCTCCTTTCTCATACAAAGGTGACTGCTCTGCCTCACATTCTCTGGCCCACCTCCAAGTAAGTTCCTTTCTGGGAGTGCTAGGCCCTGCCCCCCCAAACCTGAGGGCAATGATACTGTGCGATCTGCCTCAACGATCTGCCTCAAAGACATCTGCTTTTGCTGTCGAATTACCCTCCCCCGCTTCTCATGTTCCAAGAACTCACCACACTTTCCCCTCTAGCACTCTCTGAAGTTAATTAGTAAATAAAAGGGGAAAATCCTGCTTCATCGATTCTCATTTTCCCTGCACATCCAGTTCTACCAAGATGGTGGAGTTGTCTTGTAGTACCCAGGCAAGTGAGTTAAAGTGAGTGGCAACGTTTTTAAATTTAGAAATTTATTCTGTTTAATCCACAAGCTTTATATAGCTTTAGTTAAAAAATAAAATAAAATAAAACAGTGAAACCAAGACACTATGTCCAAGTCCAGGCCCTCCCAGCCTGCCAATGCAAGAGCTCTTCAGTTTTGTGTACCAATTGGAAGAGTAAGGGAAAAAAATATGGATGGGCCCATGCAGTTTCATAAAACAAATTTATGTAACTGAAGGGTCCTTGCTGGGTCTAGCAAATTGCCTTTACAAAAGAGAAAGAAAAAAGGGGGAGACAGAAAAACAAAACAAATCAACCTAAAGAGGACAAAAATCCCAGAGTTGTAAATCAACTTAGGAAGCTGTCACACTCGGACAGAATCTCCAGCACCCATGAGCAGTGCCTCCCCTGCTCTCTAGAGCTGAGATCCCGAGGTGTCGGCAGAGACAACGGGAGTGAAAACACTCACTCAGACCTTTGTGGTACTTCACAGTGGTCTCACTTCTGGGCAAGCTTACAAACCTATACAAGGTTGTAAGCATAATTCACATGGATCCCAAAATTCAAGAGGAAGGAAGAAAAACAGGCGGGGAGGGGAGGCAAAGGCATTTAAAGGAACCACAAGAATGCCAACAATATTTAAATGCCCTTAAAAAAAAATCTTTTTTTGGGGGGGCTTAAAATATTTCACTCTAAATGTCAATGGAAGAATGTCACTAATACACTGTGGACACCTTTGTAATGTAAATCCATGCCCTCTTTAAAAAAAAAGAAAAAAAAAAAAAAGAAAAAAAAAGAAAAACCCATGGTGAACTTCAACCTAGCAATTATTACAACAAATGTTATAGTCTAAAGCTCAAACACATTTTAGCAATTTTGAAATTGAGTACAAACCAAATAAAATTTACAACGTAACAAACATGTCCCCCTAGGACTGTGGGGACACTTGAGCCTTCCGCATGGACCGAAGGGCCTTTTCCCGAAGGTGCCTCTCTAAGTCATCAAGGTTGTCCTCAGCTTCACTTTCAGTCTCCTGGAAAACAAAGCCAAACCAGGCAGATGTTAAGGCTTGAGACACAGCAGGAGATGCTGAGTACAGACCAGAGCCAAACTGCAGCAACAATACACTCTGCTTATATAAAAAGCACCCACTTTAAATCATGACTTCTAAGACAGGTGTCTCTTCGTATCCCAGGCTTGTTTAGAACTTGTTAAGGAGCCAGAACAACCATGAGCCTCGGATCTTTCTGCCTCAGCCTCCCAAGTGCTGGCCTTACAAGCACCCACAGTACCACACCCAGTTTATCTGGGGCTTGGGGAACCATACCCAAGGCCTTGAGCCTGCTAAGCAAGCCCTCCACAAACTGAGTCGTAAGACCTATGCTTGCTATGCAGGCACGAGGATCTGAGTTAGGGTCCCCTGGTAGCAGTGCACCTGCAACCCCAAGTGCTGGGGAGGTGGTCCAGTCTATTTGAAATAGTGAACTCCAGACAAGATAGCTTAGGGAGCCTGCCACCAACCCTGATGACTTGTATGTGGTTCCTCTATGTAGCTTTGTAGACCAGGCTGGCTTCAAACTCACAGAGTGCCTCTTGAGTGCTGGGATTAAAGGCACACGCCACCACCATCTGGCTAACCCTAATGACTCATGTTTGCTCAAAAGTACTCCTCCACATGGTGGAAGGCTAACTAGTCAAAATTGTCTTGACCTTTCTGTGTAGATGTTCGGGTGTCTTCGTGTACACACAAATAAAATGCAATAAAAACACGGGGGAAAAAAAAAAGGGGATACCAATGGCTTTTACATGTACACAATGGATGAACACACACAAAACCAGCCACTGTTGGTTATTTGGGAGCCCCCGCCACCTTTTCCCATTATGTGAATTTTTTTTTGGTTGCATTTAGTATGTGTGACTAGGGGTGTGCTCAGTGGAAGCACACATGCCTAACGCACAGCAAAAAGTCCTGCACTGTGCTCTTGTCCCAGCACTGCCCAGAAAGTAGTTTAAAAAATTAAAAAACTGGGCAGTGGTGGCGCATGCCTTTAGTTAGTCCTAGCACTCGGGAGGCAGAGGCAGGCGGATCTCTGTGAGTTTGAGACCAGCCTGATCCCCAGAGTAAGTTCCAGGACAGGCACTGGAGCATTAAGCTTTTGGGAAGCCATCTGTACTCTTCTCCTTGGTCCTGGAAGGCCTCAGGAAACATTAGCCCTGAGTAGCAGCTAGCAGAGCAGAGGTGGTGGGTGAATACCTTCCTGGGCTCTGTGGCTGCCACAGGCTCTTGCTGTGCTGATGTGGTTGTGGCAGCAGAAATAGCTGCAGGGGTGGCAGGAGCTGCAGTGGCTACAGCCACAGCCTTCTCCTTCTTGTGTTTTTTGTGCTTCTTGTGTTTCTTATCCTTTTTGTGTTTCTTGTCCTTCTTTTTCTTCTTCTTCTTTCCACCTCCTTCTTGATCAGAATTCTAGAAACCCAGAAAGAAACAGTGATGTAATTGATCTGATTAAAATCCTGTTTTATTTCCTAGAGGGAATCTCAGACAAATAAATGTTGCACAGAAGTGCACAGACACCAATACCAGCGGTGACGCACCAAAGCCAAGGTCGCCCACAAAGCCACTTTCCCTTCTATTATTGCCAGCGTTTCTAGCTTCAGGGTGTGATGGAGGTGCCGACAGCTGGAGCCATGGGCTGACCATGAGCTGCCTCCCAGCTCCTGGACACGAGCAGGGACAACCTCATATAATACAAAACACATAGCAGGATCTCAGTATACGATGCCAGATATGAATCCAAAAAATGCCAGAATAAAACCTGAACCACAACTTCACTCTGCTGTACAGAGATGTTCCACTTACAGGAATTAGTTCTCTCCTACACTGTGGGTCCTGGGAACTGAACTCAGGTTTTCAGGCTTGGAGGCAAGTACCTGTACCCACAGAGCCATCTTCCTTACTAGCCCAAATGTTCCATTTACAACAGGGCTGCAACTTAATAAACCCTCTAAGTTACATCCCACCTAAGTAAAATCTATCTTTACACCTCCCCAACCCATGGCTTAGCCATACTGCCTTCAGCATGCTCAGAACACACACTGGCCTACAGCTACGTAGTTGTCTAATACAAAGCTGACTGCAGTAATGTTGAATTGCTCACTAATTCACTGAATATCAGTAACAGTTTGTGCTGTTCACTAACCTAGAAAAGAGGATCAAAATTCAAATTCAAGCTGGGCGGTGGTGGCGCATACCTTTAATCCCAGCACTTGAGATGCAGAGGCAGTTAGATCTGTGAGTTCGAGGCCAGCCTGGTCTACAAGAGCTAGTTCCAGGACAGCCTCCAAAGCCACAGAGAAACCCTGTCTCGAAATACTCCCCCACCCCCCAAAAATTCAAAGTGTGGTTTCTATTGAACATAGATCACTCTCATACCACAGAATCAAAGATTATTTAATGGAACCACCATACAGCAGACTATCTTTACACTAAATTTATGTAAGAATTTAACTAACTTGTAACTCAACTGTTTTTGAGACAGGATCTCACTGTACAACCCAGGCTGGCCTTCAAGTCCTGATCCTGCTGCTGCCCACCAAGTGCTGGGACTGTAAGCACTCACCATCTTAAGCACCCACCATCAACCCCCATGACTAATGATAAAGATGCCCAGAACAGGGCACACACACACCCTTGCAGGGGACGGGCTTGGTGTTGGGCTTTTAGCCTTTTTGACGGGCACTGCAGGGGACCAGTTGGTGGAGGGCGACTGACACTGGACAGGAGATGGAGGTGCTGGGGCCTTTTTAGCTGCTGGCTCAGGAGATCCAGAGACAGATCGGGAAGAGGAAACCCTTCTGGCGGACTGAGGGCTTGGTGAGGCAGCCCTAGACAGAAAGGGGAAACAAAACAACACAGCATTGAGAACAGACATGCAAAGGAGGCCACACAGTTGCTTTTACATCACCCAAGTCTTCTACGGGGTCACTCATGCCCCAAAACTCTCTACCACTGTACTGACAACGCATCCTACAGGACACTAGTAACAGCACTTCTCAGCTTCTTGAAGCCAGCTTTGGATCAGTGTTAAATGCTTTTCAGGGGCTGAAGAGATGGCTCAGTGGCTATGAGCATTGGCTGTTCTTCCAGAGAACCAGGGCTCATTTCCCAGCATCCACAGGGCTCACAATTAACTGTAACTATCTTTTCAGGGGCTGATACCTGCTTCTGACACTGCCTATCAGCAGAACACCCACTGACATAAAATAGAGAAAAAAGGCCGATTCATCTAGACTGTCTTAGAAGCACAGCTCTGAAATACCGGTTGTTAAAACCAAATAAAGGCCTCCAGCATTTACGCTACAAGGAGCTAGGTTCAAAGTGGGAAAAATATGAACAGTACCTACAGTTTATTATTTTTTTGGTTTTTGAGACAGGATTTTTCTGTGTAGCCTTGGCTGTCCTGGAAGTCAACTCTGTGGACCAGGCTGGCCTTGACCTCACAGATCCACTGCCTTTGCCCCCGCCCCCCCAACCCCTTCCAATGATGGAATTAAATGTATACACCATCACTGCCCAGCCTGCTTATTTTTAATAACTACTCAGTAAGGGAGAGGGTGCTACATATCATACACTATGTATTCCTAACAAAAAAAGCATTAAACATTTTTACTTTTTAATCTTTTTCGGCTCCGGAGTCCTGGAGACTCTCCTAATAGGCCTAGTACTTGGCGACGGGGACTGCCTTCCTTGGGGTGACGCCGATGCTCCTCTTCGAGCAGGGGGAGGACTTGAGGTCTGAGGAGCTCGAGGACGTGGTGAGGGCGAATGCCGTTTGTTTGGTTGTGGTGACCGGGCCTCCCGGGTAGAGCGGCCTGGGGAAGAGCCTTTCCTGTGCTTTGCAGACAAGGAGGGCGAGCGTCTCTTGGTGACTGGGGGGCTTCTTTGTTTGGGTGGTGGAGAGTGGGAGACTCGGCGCTTTGGTGGTGGAGATGGTGATGCCCTTCGCTTGGGCGGGGGTGGGGGCGAGGCGGTTCTCCTCTTCGGAGGCGGGGAAGGAGAGTATCTCCTCTGGATGGGAGGAGAGTATCTTCTTGGAGAAGGTGAACGGCGGCGTGGGGGAGGAGAAGGAGTCCTAGAAACACACATCATTAAGCTGAAACCCACAGAATCCAGAAACCAAACCCATTTATTACTTGGCTGTGTGCATGTCCAGAGGAAGTCAGTGGCACACCGAGGTAAGCAGAACCAATCCTCTCCATCCACCTTTATGTGGCTTCTGGGATCAAACTTAGGTCAGTACCCGTGTATGGCAAGTACTTTCACCACTGAGTCCTTGCTAGCTAACCCAGAACTAGGAAAATTAAATAAAGAAAAAGCAGTCAGTTATAAATATCCTATAGCTAGCACTATGCCAGGGGATATATTTCAAAGTAAGATGGCCACCACCACACCTGTCAAGAGACTAACTACGTTGTGCTTAATGTAGAAATTTGCAATTTTCAGAAACAATTTAAATTCACCAACTCAATAAATTTATATAGAATCAATTCACTGTTTCATGATAGGAGAATCTCATACTGCTTTGTAGTATCTGTGTGCATCCGCTGTGAAAATCAACAACGGAAGCCTGAGAAAGCCTGCTTGACTGAGTTCTACGTGGCAGGGCCTGGAGATGCGGCTCAGCTCTTGGTGCGAGCACCTGCACAGTAGTTAGCTCACAAAGGTTCAGAACTCAAATTCAAAGGAATCCAAGGCCATTCTGGCTTTCATAAGCACAAGGTGCACATACTCTCATGCAGACAAAACCAAAATAATTATTTTAAGTGATGCTGTACTGTCGTCTCCTCTGAACTAGCATCCTGGTTCAGACATCTAGTCCTCTTTAGTGTGAGTTAGGAAAAGCTATCTCTGAAAGTTCTACCTGGCCTTTTCTCTTAAAGGTGACAAGGTCTTTTATGTCATCTAGGAATTAAGGCTTAACACAACATTTGGGCTAACTGTACAATTTGTGCTTGGGTCTTTCCACATCAATTCCTGCTCAGAACAGGGTTTACAATGAGCCAATCATCAGGCAAGGTGGCAGAGTAGAACTGGGCAATTCTTTAGTAATTCTAGCTACGCACAGTGGCTCCAATTTGTAATTCCATTATTTGGGAGGTATGAGGGTTGAGACAGCCCCAAATCCAAGGCCAGTCTAGTATACATATTAGATCCTGTTAAACAAGAACAAAACACCCTCCCCCAAATACACACTCCCTTTCTCTTTCTCTACTACACACTAAACAAACATAGTAAAAAGTGGAACAAATAATTATACAGCTAGTGCTTGCCATGGACTCATCCCTCAACACAAAGTTACAAACAAACAAGAAAAACCACATTTCCCTTTTTCATATTTATAGACCTAGAGAAATAAACCAACCAGTCATGGCCGAGTTCTCTGCCCACCAACCTGTAATCATTCTTCATTCTCTCACCGTGACTGAGCTGACAAGAGTCTAGCTATATATGCCATTTGACAGGGAACTCAAGATATAGCTAGTTTAGGCTGGCTCCAAACTAGTGCTGGGATTAGGGGTATGCGCTGATACACCCAGCCTGTGACTGACATTCAAAGGCTTCTCACAATGGAACACCTCTTCTACATTCTGTATAACTGGTAGTATTACCAAGGAATCCCAAACGCACATCAGTGCAGCTGTCAATGTGCATAACCCGATGGTTTCAGAACCTTCCTGAGGCTGGCTGTGCAGCCATGCCATTCCTCACTCCCCTCCCCTGGCACCTGGGGTCTGGCTGCTCTGACTAAGACTGGCCTCCTGCCCCAGCCTTTAAAGAGTTGAGATTCCAAGCAGAAGTGATACACCTGGTCCTTGTTTTCTGTTTCTATAGAGTTGTGTGTTCTGGGATTTTCTGATAATGGAGCCCACATTTACTATGTGACCTTTTACGACTGGAGATGAAATGTCACCATACAAAGCAACTTCCATGGTAAAGACCCAGAGTCACACACAATACCTTCTTCGTGGTGGTGGGGTGGGAGATCTACGCCGCCGAGGAGGAGGAGGGGGAGGAGGAGCTGGAGAAGGAGATCGTCGCCTTCTGGCTGGTGGTGGAGAGGGACTTCTCCTCCTTCTACCACTAAAGCAAAAGTGATTCTCAGTCAGTGACATTTACAATCAACTGCCTGAGGAAACACATTTCTTTCTTTTTTTTTTGGTTCTTCAGGACAGGGTTTCTCTGTGTAGCTTTGGAGCCTGTCCTGGCACTCACTCCGGAGACCAGGCTGGCCTTGAATTCACAGAGATCCGCCTGCCTCTGCCTCCTGAGTGCTGGGATTAAAGGCATGCAACACCAACGCCTGGCTGAGGAAACACATTTCTAGCAGAGTGACTTTATGTTCCCGAGCACACATTCTCAGCCTAAGGCTGGGACCCCGGGTAGCAGCCAACATTCAAAACAAATTTAAAAATCAATGTTTCACTTTTGGTGTTGGTAAAACACAGCTTTTATGATGTTAGCTTCTGACAGAAATATGTATTTGGTTATGACATAAACTATCCAACAGAGGAAGTGACACATTTCAAGAATGTGACTAGAAAAAAAAGAGAATGTGACTAGAAGAACACTTTTTGTTTAGCTGGGATACACATGACTATCGGTTGGGTTGGGAAACTTATCTGAGATTTATGTGGACCACGTCAGGGTTAAGTTCAGTCAAGTTGTGCTCTATTTTTTTTTTTTTTTTTTGGTTTTTCGAGACAGGGTTCCTCTGTGGCTTTGGAGGCTGTCCTGCTCTTGTAGACCAGGCTGGCCTCAAACTTAGAGATCTGTCTGCTTCTGCCTCCTGAGTGCTGGGATTAAAGGCATGCGCCACCAACACCTGGCTTGTGCTTTATTCTTTATGAGAAACATTTAAGATGTTAATAGACACCAATGGCTTAAGGCCCAAATCTGAAGGCTACTGCTCCAAGCTGCATCACCTCTATAATGCCATGGAGCACAGGGACTGTACACACTAGGCGAGCACTCTACCCCTGAGCTGTATTTCCAACCTTTCCTATCTTAACCAAACATTACACACGCAGCACTGAAAAGGAACTGGGTATCACACCCAATACCCAAAGACAAACGACACATCAGGCTGCCCTGAGGGTAATGTGGTTAAAAATAAACCCATGAACCAAATACACCCCAATTCTGAGTTCTGTAACACACTTCAATATTGCAAGCTACATACCAAGAAGTACCATACATCAACCCACTAGAAGCAGCCTCAAAAAGACTTATTTGAACTGGGGCTAAGTCAGTTTGTCACCTTTGAGGCAAATTGACACATGAGACAGAAGTCAATGTTCAATGTAAACAGTTCCTGGTTCCTTGCTCAGCCTGGACTGACACTGTGAACCTAGAACTCAGTTTCTAAAGTTTACCAGGTATCGGCTCCTATTTGAGACTAAATGGAGGAACACCCAGAAATTTACTACCACCAGATTTCATTTCCAACCACATCTGATTTAGATTTGCTGATATCTGTGACTAGTACTTTATCTTAACACCTTACATAAAATACTCAATAATTATATTTTCTGTCAGGTGTTGCCTTTTAATCCCAGCTCTCAGGATATAGGCAGGTGAATCTCTCTGAGTGCTAGGCCAGCCTGACCTACATAGTGTTCCAGGATACATAGAAAGACCTCGCCTGAAACAACCCAAAATGTGTTTTGTTTTTTGATAAAAGGTCTCACTATGAAGCCCTGGCTGGCCTCTGCTTCTTGAGTGTGCTACCGTGCCCAGATGGACGGTGATTACTAACGATCTTAAACTTGAAGCTACTAATATAACCTAAAACTACTGGGGCAGGGCAAAGAATATTCCTTTTGTTTTTGAGACAGTGCTGTCTACACAGCTCTGGCTGGCCTGGAACTCACTATGCAGACCTGTGCTGGGATTAAAGGCATGTGCCCCCAACACCAGTCTAGGAAAATTAATTCTGATTTCACTGTTTTAAGGAGCCTTCCCAGAACAGAACACAGTTCTATAAGACTGAACATCATGTGTTTTGATGTTCAGTCTAGCAATTTCACAGAATCCAGAAGTCACTGCAGTTGGAAGAAAATTATTTTTGTTCCCGATTTCTTTCTTTCATTTCTGTTTTTTCATTATCATGAAACAGTTCCTTCTACAGCATAAATATCCCACTCTGCTCCATTCCCAAAGGGCTTTCCAAAGACTTTAAATGGGAAAAGATGGAAACAAGAAGGGGATGCTCAACCTGTACTCAGGAAAGAGAACTGATGACAGACAGGATGTCAGTGGCACAGGTCAAAGACCCGGCCACAGTAGAGGCTTCTCCCTGTGATTCCACATTTGAGAGACAGGCCTTCACTAAAAGATTTTGATTTGTTTTGTTTTTTTTTGTTGTTGCTGTCGTTTTTTAAGACAGGGTTTCTTTGTGTAGCTCTGGCTGTCCTGGAACTCACTCTATAGACCAGGCTGGGCTTAAACTCAAGAGATCCACCTGCCTCCTGAGTGCTGGGATTAAAGGCGTGTGCCACCATGCCTAGCCCACTATAAGATTTTTATATAGGATTTGGATCAAAACTTTTATGGTTTCGTAGTCACATAAGCACATGATCAAACAAACAAAAATTCCATATGTGGGAGGTAGGGGGAGAAAGCCAGGCTTGGTGAGATGAGCTCAGCCACTTGCTACCAAGCCTGAAGAATTGCATGAGTTCGATTCCCAGGACCCACACAGCGAAAGCAGAGAACCAATTCCTTCAAGTGTCCTCTGACCTCAAACATGTACACTGTGGCATTTGTGTGCCCACACATATACACAACAAATGGAAACACAGTGAAGACTTTTACCTCACAGATGTTTCCCATACTTCTGCACAGACTACAGAACCAACCCTTACATTCATTTCCGGCATTCTGAAGTTTTCTTAAGTTTTTCTTTCTCTAAGTCACCCTAATACAAAGTCACTCCTGACTGAGTCTTAAGGAGTCAGAATTACAGCTAAAACCAACAATTCACATAGAGCTGTACATGTCATTCATCTAACATGATTAAAGAAAAACCAAAAACACACACCAAAGTAACTTCAGAGTTTCTCCACTGACACAATGACCTGTAAAATGGGGACAAGTCACCTGAACAGGAAATTAAGTAAACTTGGTATGATGCCCTCATTTACAATAATAGTGTCTAACCAACCTTTTAGTCACTGGCGATTGCCATCGTTTTCCCATCTGCATCCTGAGAGCAGTGGAGAAAAACAAGCGTCAAGACTTCCATTCACACAAGTTAAGTTCTTCTTGTGGAGGCTATTTTTTTTTTTTACAGCTTCAAAATGTCTGGAATTAATGCTACGATTTAACTGCTCTGTCTTTCTGTTCATGCATAAGCAAGGCAATCACTCAAAACCTGTCTAGTTTTAATGTTAAGAACTATGAACAGCAAGAAAAAAACAAGCTAACCAAAATCCCAGACCCAGCCATTTTTAAGTTTTGACAGGATGAATTAGTCCAATTGTAAAATAATTTTATAGCCCACCCTGTAAGTTACAGTTTCAACCCAACCACAGATCAGTCAAAATCATTATTGAAGGTTGTTACCGAGGGGAAGTCTCTTTTTGGCGCTTTCGAGGTGATGGAGATGCACTCCGAGAAGGAGAATGTCTCCGCCGCCTGCCTACCTCACCATTCTTCACATGGGATCTCTTGGGCCGCTCATCTTCTGAGGTGGAAGAGGAGCCAGAGTCTGTAATCACAGAGCAAAGAACAACAACAAAATAACACACACACACACACACACACACACACACACACACACACTCACTCCCTCCCTCCCTCCCACCCCACCCACGGCAAGCTCAGAATCCTAGGTTCTACACCCAGCACTGGGGAAAATGGTTAGAGGTTAAGAGTGACACAACATTTACCTAGTATAAGGCGATGGGTTCAATTCTTACTACTGTCAGTACAATTTAATCAGGACAATTCTAGTGGCAGTCAACACCCCCACACCCAGCAGAAAACTAGCCGACACAAGACTAGTATAATATCAAGAATACTGAGGCCTGTATGCATCTAAGAAATCTAGGCTCGTTGGTGCATGTCCATGTCGGATGACAAGGGAGGTAGATGGAGAAGCTAAAGTTCAACAACACAGCAAGCAAAATTCAGCTTGTGTGCATGAGAACATCTCAGAAACAAGACAAAACAAAAAGTCAGGGATTATTTCCAATTAACAAGTAAAGCTTCAAAACAATCTAAAGGCTGGTGGTGCGGCTCAGAAACTCAGTGGAGGAGCAAGCACGTGAGCAGTATGAGAGTATGAGCGGGCCCCGTGTTCCATGTCAACAACAAAGGAAAGAAACAAAAGCACCAATGTTAGCTGAAATAGAAAACTAAAGTATTTCTATAATAATTACAATAAGCACCGAGGGACTGTGGTTTGGCTGTGAGGAGAGTGCTTCCCTTAGCACTCATCCCCAGTGCTGCATACAATTGGCTGCAGTGGTGCAAAGCTGTAATCTCAGTATTTAGGAGGAGGACACAAAAAGAGCAGAAGTTTAAGGTCATTTTCGGCTGCATAGTAAGTTCAAGGTCTGTCTCAAAACCAAATCTAACCTACCAAAACCTAAGAAGAGAGCATTTGGCTTAAACATCAGGCTTCTGAGTGCTTTCTCTTTAATCCAACAACTACAACTATCTGAAAGTTTCATCTGCCTACCATTAAACAAAACACCTAAAAGCAGTCTTAATGATACCAAAAGGCAACTGACTGCCCCCCAAGGCAAAAAATGAAAGATTCACAAAAACTAGTTAAGATGTTCTAAACCAGACTCCTGCATATTAGGGACTAAATTAGTCATCCAATTTCATTTTGTTTTACTATTGTACTCTAGATCAATTACCTTCTTTTTACTAATGCTGGGAATAAAGCCCGGGGCTTTGCACACACACTAAGGTGTACTAGACCACAAGAGCCACACTCCAGGCCAGATTTATCACCTTCATAACAATATAACGATTTAAATGAAAAACTTAAGGGCTTACAATAATAAAGAAACATACACCAAGTGAAACACAGTATTTCCCACGATGGCAAACACTTAGCCCCACACCTCCACGAATTCAGAAGGACCTCAGGACTGGAGGTGCTCAGCAGATAAGAGTTAGCGGCTCCTCCAGACGTCTTAGTTCAATTCCCAGCACCCAATAGTGGCTCATAACGTCTATAGCTCCAGATCCCAGGGGATCTGATGCCTCCTCTGGAACCAGATATACACATATACACACGGTGCACAGACACACACGCAGGTAAAACACTCACGTACACGTGTGTGTGTGTGTGTGTGTGTGTGTGTGTATTGTGTGTCCCTCATGTAGTTCACCATGTAGCCAAGAATAACTAAATGAGTATCTGATCCTCTTGCCTCTACCTCCTAAATGCTGATATTATAGGCTTCTCTGGGTTTGCAATTTTTGGGACTCTCACTATGCAACCCTTAATGGCTTCATACTCCACAGGAGCTCTACTGCCTCCACCTCCAAAGTGCTGGGGTTACAATAGGTGTGATGGTAGAAAGCATTTTCTTGGTGTCCATACCAGATGAAGACTGCTGGTTCTGTCGTCTATACTGGCGTCTCTGTTGCACAGAATCGGCTGCAGCCATCTTGCTGCCTTTGTCTTCTTCTGAAAGATGGATGCATTTAGAAAGTGTTTCTTTAGTTACAGACAGGTAATGTGACAACTGAACAGGAAAACAGGCATTCAAATTCTGTCAACTACTCAACTTATTTTATTTACTACAGGTCAGGCTGGGAGATAGAATTCTACAAACATTTCAGCTAGCCGCCAAACCCCAGAATTATGCCCAAATACAGAAGAAAAAGAACAAGGCTAAGATGAATGGAATAACCAAATAAAGAACACTTAAATGCTGGAGCTGAGAATCTCCAATAGTCTGTGTGATGCCAGTTTCAGCTTTTCTCTATTGTGGTGCCCTGTACAGTGAATCTCCAACCCAAGGGGAATAATCAAATAAGTCACAACAACTTACCAGACTCAGACAACTCCACCTTTCTAGGCTTGGGTGCTGGTGAAGGTGACTCTCTTTTCTCAGTACCTTTATGTTTTGTCACTAAAAAGCAAGGAAAAACAAACAAAAAAATTAGACACAATAAAAAAGTGGAAAGCTTCAAAAGTTTCTACAGGACTGGCAAGAACCTTGCACTGATTGCTCAAAGCCCATGCACTAAAACCAGTCAGATGTAGGGAGTGGTATGCAAATGAGAGAACAGGCTGGAAGCTTGGACCAGCCTGGAGCACACACCATACCAGGAGAAAGCAGGGAGGTCTGGCAGAGAGACCATATCTCAACAAGGAAGAAGAGGAGAATCAACTCCCCCAAATCTTTGTTGTTGTTTTGATTGATCGTTGGTAGCGCACGCCTTTAATCCCAGCACTTTGGGAGGCAGAGGCAGGCAGATCTCCAGGTTTAAGGCCAGCCTGGTTTAAATATTGAGTTCCAGGACAGCCAGGGCTACAGAGAAAGCCTGCCCCAAATAAATAAATAAATAAATAAATACATACATACATACATACAACAAATAAACCCAAACCCTCGCAGCAACTCAAGGTCATCCCTTTATTCTTTTACCTGTGAGTGACTAATGAATTTCGGTAGGTTGTCTTATTAGAAAACAGTTATACCTTACTCAATACTCTAGGAATTGTCATAGACGAAACTGGGCAGTAACTAACTATGAGAAATGGTGGTCTAACACTTCAACCTCATCTTTGCTAAAGTAATCCAAGAGAAAATTATTATTTAAATCTTCCACACAGTAGACGAGCCCTGTATCCCTGAGCTGCATGCATGCCTTCAGTTAATGATTCTACCTATTAACATTATTTAGACAAACTACTCAATTAGATAGAGAATGGTTAACACCCACAATTCTAAAATTCATAAAATAGGGGCTGGATCGAAGCTCAGTGGCCAAAAGCACTAGCTGCTCTAACAGAGGACCCAGTTTGGTTTACTACATCCATATGAATAGCTCACAGCTACTTGTAACTCCAGCTCCAGATATGATGCTCCTTCTGGCCTGTGAATACCTGCATAGTGTGTCTATATCCTACCACAGAACATTCACAACTAAACAAACAAACAAACAAACAAACAAACAAACAAAAACCAACACAGAGGAGGCCTCAGACAGGACTGCCAGCCTAGGTTACATAACAAGATACTATTCTCAAGACTTTAAAAGACAAACCAAACCAAAAAAACAAAAAAGGAAACCATCTACATGTCAAATTTACAACCTCAGAGGATCAAATTTTAAAACTATTTGGAAAGTGGCTTGTTTGGCTGTAAGAAGGCATTTTCTTAAGAAACATAGCTAAAATTATCAACGCTCTTATTTATATTTCTTGAGACAAGGTCTCACTAACTTAACTGTCTGGCTTCAGAATGGCAGTGAAATGCCAGGACTAAAGAAGTGCCCTGTTACCAGGTGCTGATGCACACGCCTTTCATACGAGCACTCTAGAGGCAGAGGTAGGGGGTTTCTGAGTTCAAGGCCAGCCTGGTCTACAGATCAAGTCCAGGACACCCGGGGCTGCACAGAAACCCTGTCTTGGGGGTGGAGGGAAATACTGCATACATCTAGCCAACATGACCTATTTTGTTAAACAGAGGGAATAAACCATGGGAGGGTTCATCCTGACTCAACATCTCTTTAATGGCTTAACTAAAATAGCCTGTAATAGCATTTATAGACTACACTTTATCCTACTCTTGAGTTAAAACATTCTGTCAGACACTGGTGAGGCACTCCTTTAATTCCAGCACTCGGGAGGCAGAGACAGACAGATCTCTGTGAGTTTGAAATCAGCTTGGTCTACCCTTCAAGTTCCAGGCCAGTCAGGGATGCATAGGGGGGGGCGGGGGGAAGAGGAGGACACAAGGGGACACCAAAAAATAAAACAAAACCAAAAAACCATTGTTACAGTAACAAGTGCTTCTATTTTCTATATTTTTCTAAATGAAATTTTTTCTTTTACTTACTGTGTTGTTAATACTGTTTTAAGAATTCAAGGAGCAAATCATTCTAACATGAAGTCAGAAATCTAAGAGAACAACTCTAAAACCAAAGTTTTAAAGCATTTCAACAGTCCTATTAATTATTAATCTTAGACTGCTCAAAAGATAACTTGCAAAGTTACTGTAATGGGAAATAGTAAAATACAGTAAGCGGCCACAGAGCACTATTTATATAGTTGAGTTGATTCAAAAGGTACAGGCTGTGCCAGGACACTTGACCAAGGTACAAAGTTCACCCAGTACCTGGATTACAACTGATTCTAAGTTTCTTCAAAACCCTTGACGGAACTGTAAACCGACCACACTCCAAATGATTTACTAACAAATTCCCTCACTTTCCTTTCCTTACTCTCATTTCATTAGTCTGTTATCAACAGCAGATCACAAGACCCCCAATTAACATCTGCTGTATGAAATACAAATGAGGACTCTATTGGATTAGAGCAGTGCCACAGTTCTAAGTATCCAGAGACACCCCAAAGTGGGCATCTTTGAAGTCACAGTACTAGTAAAGAAGCCAAAGAGCTTCATTCTGCCCCCCATCTTCCTCCCTGTCATCACATTTGGAGTTTGACAATTATCACTGCCTAACTGGGAACAAACTCTTCAGTTCTTCTAGTTGATCTTGGCTAAGTCACCTAAGCGAGAACGTTGACAGCTGTAAGGTCTCCTGTAGTTCTCAAATTTCAACATGAGGGTCATTTCCACACAGTTCAAACTAACTGTGAGCTTCAGTGGACATAAGTAGACTGAGCTGCCCACAGCACAACTGTCTGGCTAAAGCAGCTTGTCCAAGAGCCCACAGAACACAACTAGTCTCTGTTCCCCACAGCAAACCCCTTGATTATGAATATCCATCACAGGCACAGGAAGAAGACATCAAAACAGGAGAGACTGGCACTGTGCAGACTGGTAAGTTTGGTCCCCAGCACCCAAGACTATCTCTCTAGCCACAAAAACAAACAAGCAAGCAAGCAAACAAAGTAACTAATAAATCCCAACTGCCTATTTTAACCAAACTCCTTCTGTTTGGTATTTTAAAGTAACTCTTCTCTATAATCTAAATAGAAAAAAACATGTATTTTTCTAAAATTATAGTGGGAACACTTAAGATTGTCTTCCTCTTAGAGAGCTTTCTAGCTCTAAACAAAAGAAACATTTACAAGTATAGAGTTCACAGGGAACGACAAGCAGGCTAGGGCAGTATCAGGCTGAAATGTCCGCATTTTATATAAATATGGTGCATGTTAAAAAAAAAAAAAGCTGTCTTAAATACCACATCTTACTTGTCACTGGGTCAACTTAGCATTAAAGTAAAAATAATAATAATAATAATCCGCACATTACTTTTGCAGCTTGCCATCACCAGCAGGTCCTCTTTCCATAGATCACTCTCAGTCTAACAGTTTAAAAGGGGCAGCTAGTGTGGTGCACCCTTGAAATCCCAGTACTTGGGCAGCCGATGGGCCTGCCTGATCCTCCCGCCCCACTACACTCACCTTTCAGGCTGCTCTATTACTCCAGCCCTAGCACCAAAGGCACTATTCCAATGGATCCTATCCTCTCTCTCCACGTCCATTTTAGTGCTAAAACCCCAGCAAGTTACAACTAACAGACTAACCAACATTCTATGTGGCTGGCATAATCACAGGTCATCAATTTCTTAGAAACCAATCTCCTGAAGAGTGAAGACAGCACCCAAGAACCCTGCCTAGACCCTAAATCAATCAGTCAGTCAGTCATCCCTTGGGAGCATAAATGTGACCAAAAAGCGTAACAGAACATAAAGTTCTCAAGTAAGATACCAAACAAAAAGCCTTAAGAAGGGGTGTGGGGAAGATGGAATAGTTAATTGGTCTCAGAGTAACCAAATAAATTCTTACAGTAAGAAGACAAATCCCAATTGTTACCCCAACTCAAACAGCTCCAAGCTAGTGATCCACTTGCCACCTGCCCACACAAAGGACACTGGAAAAACAAACTACCTTTACAGACAGCCCCCGGCCCCCCGCCAAACACCTGAGAACAGAAAGGCAAGGCAAGCCATTTACATTGTTACATAGAAAGTACTGCCTAGCTGCTTCTGGAGGTGGAACAACTGGGTTCACCCTGATGCCAGAGAACAAAATGCTTTGTGTGTTTTTACCTTTACCCGAAGTTCTTCCTGGAGACACAGAAACACGACTTTTTCTTGTGCGGTTTGACTGCTGGGGGGTGGGGGAATGGCGAGTTTTAGGTGGTGGAGTTGTTGGAGATGATGGTCTGTGCCTTCGCCTTGGAGGACTTGCAGAAGGAGATAACCTACGAGTTTTCCGAGGTGGGCTGGAGGTCCTCTTGGGAGGCTTTTTTGGCGGTGACCGGGAACGAGATGACGAAGACGAAGAGCTACTTCCAGACAACGATGCAGAAGAACGCCTCCTTCTGTGGAATAGAGCATTCATCTCACTGCCTGCATCCCTATGAAGAAAGACTCCACAGTGTGTACAAGGTGCACAAAAACACGGCTAGTTTTTATCCAACTTTGGAGTTTATGTAGCTAAGTACACAAATTACTTCAAGAAGATTGGAAGCAAAACCATAACCTAGGACAGGAAACAGCTATTTCTGAGAGTAAATACACTTAACTCATTCTGATAGTGTTTGAGCTGTGAGTGCTATAATTCAGTAACGAAGCAGCCTCTTCCTGAAGAGTGATATTGGGGTTATGGAGTTTGTACAACTTTGGGGGTGAGAGAGTATTGCTCATTCAGAGTGATGTCAAACAAGTTGCACTAAAAATATGTGCAAGATTTGAAATTCATTTAGCTACATAAACTTAGAAGTAGGGGGGCCTCTCGAATTCTGCGGCAAAATCTGTGGTTAAGTTCTGTTGCAATTACGTGTACCTGCAGAATTCACCTTTGGCAGAAGAATTCCTGAGAACCTGAAAAAAAGAAACCCTACCTTAAGTGTGAGATTAAAAACTGGCTGAAAGGGAATCTTACACAATCTGCAAAATACTGTGACTGCTAAATTGTTTAGTGCGCACTATTGAAACACGCTGTTTGCAAAATTCCACAATGTAAGAAATTGTAGTTTCTTTAATAGTGTACTAAGGAGCACTGGCATTACTTCTCTCCAAAATAGAATGATCAATGTGAAAAGTGTGATGTCTGGAATTCTGCCATATACACGTCTATCCTTGCCCACCAGCTCAGCAGCAATTATATGCGTTTAAATACTGGTACCTGGACAACACTCTCCAAAGAAGATGGTATTCGTTGTTGTTGCTGTTAAAGTATGGGTCAGAAAGTCCCTACCTGCACAGATAGAACTTGGAGGAGCTTATGATGTTTCCCCATTTTCTAGCTGCTGTGGTTCTCTGCAAAAAACATTAACTTAACAGCTTTTCCAGGACTTGGGGTGACTTCAAGAGGTGGAGCACAGGCTCAGCCCTGGTTCAACCAGCAGCAACACAGAAAAATAGACAACAAAGTTCTGTCCAAAGCAGATTTGAAAAGCCTGTCAACACAGTAAGGCAGACAATTCTGTTCCTGGGCACAAGGCCTCATTTTGGATAAAGTTAGATACAATCTTATTGTTATAAAATAATGTATCTAAGATTAAAACATTTTATCTGATACCCATTTTAGGATGGTTAAACAAATTAAACATTTCAGCAATGTTTAAAATGAGTTAGTACTATTGACTGAATTAGAGAATATCTAATTGTCACAAATGTAGCTATTGTAAATTACTAGGAATGGCTGTTTCAAGCTTTCTTGTTGGACTATCATTGGATGGTTAGTCCACAAATAATGGCCTGAGACTTATTATTAATTATGAAAGCTTGGCCTTCGCTTAGGCTTTTCTCCCAACTAGCTCTTGTAACTTAATTAACCCATAGTTTTCAAATCTATGTTCTGCCATATGGCTCAGTTACCTCTTCTTAGTATAAGGACACATCAGACACATCTGACTTGTTGGCAAAATCCACACACCTAGATTCCTCCTCTATCATTTCTCTCTCTCCCTTAAGTCCCACCTATCTCTCCTACCTAGCTACTGACCAGTTAGCTCTTTATTAAACCAATCAGAAGGCACCTTAAGCAGACACATCTTTATAGTATAAACAAGTATTATGCAACAGCTCTATCTAGGAATGGAATTATGGAGAACTTTTCCTTTTATGCTACCTCTGAGCTGTTACAAAAGCTTCATTACAAGGGTGGAGAGATGGCTTAGCAGTTAAAGCATTAGGGCTGCTCTTCAGAGGACACAAGTTTGGTTCCCAGCACCATCAGGTGGCTCACAACTGCCTACAACTCGAGCTCCACGGGATTTGGAGACCTCTGCAGGCAGCTGTGCTCTCATGCATGCATTTACACTCATGCACGGGAGCACACACACCTCTACACATATTCAAAATATTTTTTTTTTTTTTGAGACAGGGTTTCTCTGTGTAACAGCTCTGGCTGTCCTGCAACTCACTCTGTAGACCTGGCTGTCCTCGAACTCAAAGATCTGCCTGCCTCTGCTTCTGAAGTGCTGGGATTAAAGGTGTGTGCCACCACCACCCGGCCAAAATAAATCTTAAAAAAAGAAGAAGAAGAAGAGAGAATCACTGTAAAGGCCCTTGCTGTGCAAATCCAAGCTCAACTCCCTAGAGCCACTCAAATGAAGGAGAGAATGGATTCCAAAGTTGTCCTGACCCCCAGGCACAAGTTATTGCTTGTGTATATATAAACAAAGTAGATCTTACAAACTTAAGGTAAAATAGCAAATGGGTTTATAAAAAACTGGTAAAATAACCTAATTAATTCTGTAACCAGTTGCCTTCCAGAAGCCATAATAAGCTAAAAGTCAGATGGGAGGGAGACAGCTCAGGGAAGGATGGCTCAGGGGTTGAGAGAACCCGTTCCTCTTGCAGAGATGGTTTCAGTTTCTAACACCCACACGGCAGCTCACAACCACCTATACCTCCATTTCCAGGGGATCTGATATGCTCTTTTGTCCTGTGGGAGGTACTGCACACAGGTGGTATACAAAATGCAGACTTGTGCATAGAATAAACACTCACTTATACATTTTAAAAAGTCAAACAGAAAAGCAGCCAATTCTTTGTGTGTCTGTGTGTACGCGCACGAGAGAGAGAGAGGAAGAGAGAGAGAGAGGGGGGGGGGTTTATATAGAGGCTGACTGAATTTCTGATCCTTTCCCATCTACCTCTAGTGTGCTGGGTTCACTGATAGGAAATAGCACCCTGAGCCGGGCGTTGGTGGCGCATGCCTTTAATCCCAGCACTTGGGAGGCAGAGGCAGGTGGATCTCTGTGAGTTCGAGACCAGCCTGGTCTACAAGAGCTAGTTCCAAAGCCACAGAGAAACCCTGTCTTGAAAGAAAAAAAAAAAAAAAAAAAAAAAAAAAAAAAAAAAAAAAAAAAAAAAAAAAAACAACAACAACAACAAAAAAAACCAAAAAAAATTAGCACCCTGAGCCTGTACAGTAACGTGAGGAATAGACACCAGGGTTTCATGCTTACATACCAAGCATCTTACCAACTAAGGTATGCCACTAGCCCTCAGTTGTCCCTTACCATGAACTTTAGTCAAGTCTTGGAAAGTAAACACACAGGACCCAGAAGACCACGACCTGACTTTTCTCAGCACTAGATGTCTCTCACAGCTCAAACACTGCCACACTTGAAGTGCAGCCTGCTGTTCAGAAGACATTCCCTGCTAAAATTTATTTGTAAGAGTTGTCTTCCAGTAGACCAATAAAATAAAATAGCAAACTGAAATTATTCCAACAACCACCCTACCACTAAGAGAGCCTCACCGTCTGCCTGGAGATCTACTCCTCCTGTGTCTTGGTGGAGGAGGCATCCGTCTTGGTGGAGTTCTTCTTCGAGGAGATGGTCTCCTTCTTGGGCTTGGCCGCCTTCTAGGAGAGTATGATCTGCCATAACAAACAGAATTAGGCATCAAATAAACTAAGAACAAGGAATTTGACACTAATTTCCAACACCATAACTTCCATTTATGTAGGGTTTTTCTGTTTGTTTTTTCAAGACAGAATTTCTCTTCTATGTGGTTTTAGAGGCTGTTTTGGAACTCACTCTATAGACCAAACTGGCCTCAAATTCAGAGATCCACCTGCCTCTGCCTCCCAAGTGCTGGGATCAAAGGCATGTGCTACCACGGCCCAGCTCAATTATATAGAATTTTATGGTGCATAGAAAAGTAGACTTCAGCCGAGCATTGGCTACGCATGCCTTTAACCCCAGCACTTGGGAGGCAGAGGCAGGCGGATCTCTGTGAGTTCGAGGCCAGTCTGGTCTCCAGAGCGAGTGCCAGGACCGGCTCCAAAGATACACAGAGAAACCCTGTCTCGAAAAACCAAAAAAAAAAAAAAAAAGACTTCACATAAATGCAGAGTAACTTTCATTCTCAACATTCTTGACACTGTTTACAATTCTACCTTAAAAATCAGCACTTACAACCTAAAGATATACTCCTCCCCAGGCCACAACATACCTTGATCGGGATCTATGTCGTCGTCTTGGTCTAGTATGAGAAGGTGATCGAGAACGGGTCCGAGATCGTGATTTGGAACGTGATCGAGATCGTGGTCGTGTCTTTTCCTTTTCCTTTTTGGAATTTTTTTCTGGAGAAGGTTCTTTGGGCTCTGGTACAGGCTCAGGCTTGGGAGCTTTCAGGATGTCACTGTGAAAAATAACATTTTGTTTGGTTTTCTCCTGTACTCTTCTTAGAATCTTAAGCCAATAAAAGGATATACTGATCTGGTTATCTTTTTAAAGGGGTTTCAAGGGCTGGCAAAACGGTTGTCTTTGGTAAAATATTTATGGTGCAAGCCTGAAAACCTCAGTTAAATTCCCTGGAACCCACCTTAAAGTTAAAGAGTCAAAGTTGTATTCTCATCAATGTGACTTGTTCCCCAGTACTAATAAATTAACAGATATAAATCACCTTATCTTAAAAAGTGTTCAATATCTGCAAAGACTTCAGGCTTGATAGGCACACATCAGAATCCACCGGGCAAAAACTAAGAATTTATACCCGTTTCACATGTGGGCAACAACTGGGCGCAGTCTGTGGATAGCAGCTGTAATCACCGCAGTGTCATGGACTGCATGCCATGTGGCCTTGTGGACTACGTGTGGTGTTGTGTAGCAGCTGCATCATGCTCAAGCCTAAGGTATCCAGAGGGTACAAGATGTTCCAGTGAAGAGAGAGGGAGTGGCTTTTATTTGGTATATTTTATACTCCAGTTAACAGAGTAAGTTGTTTGAGAATATAGGTCAGTGACAAAGCATGTGCAAAGCTCTGGGTTACATCCCCTACTACAAAAAGAAAACAACAAACCCAAAGAGGAACTTGTCCACAGTATATTGTGGCAAGTGGGTAGGAAGATCACGTTACTATATATAAAAAATTTCAAGGAATACAACAGAAGGGACTGGAGAGATGAATCATCAGTTAAGAGCACTGACTGCTCTTCCAGAGGACCTAAGTTCAATTCCCAGCACCCACATGGCAGCTTATAGCTGTGACTCCGGTTCCAGGGGACCTGACACCCATAGCAAAACACCAATGTATATAAAAACAACAACAAAAAAACTCCCCAAAATCCAATAGACAAGTGGTTATCTCTAAGGCATTTTCCTTATAATGTATGTAATTTCAGCTTCATTTTCCCATACTAACTTTGAAAAAAAGGGAAAAGCCAGGCATTGGTGGCGTACGCCTTTAATCCCAGCACTGGGGAGGAGAGGCAGGTGGATCTCTGTGAGTTTGAGACCAGCCTGGTCTACAAGAGCTAGTTCCAGGACAGCCTCCAGGTGGTATGAACAACCTACAACATGATTATTTAACAATGTTAGGAACATGCCTTGTAGATGTGGCCTCCTGTACTGAAGAGTCTTTTGTTCTCACTGACGGTTCTGGGAGCTCTGGAGATTTCTCCTTCTTTTCTGGGGCAGGGGAAGGGCTCCGGCTCTTGGTTCTGTGACGGGGAGATCGAGAGTGACTGCGCTTTCTCTCTCTCCTGACAGGGGAAGATCGTCTTCTAGGGGAAGGAGATCTGGATTTTCGTCTAGGATGAAAGCAATTTTTTCAGATTTTTGAATAATGTAGTTTGGTGCAGACGAAGGAAGAATCAAGGATTAATCTTTTAAGTTACCCACTGTTGTCTGTATCTGAGAAGTTTCACATGAAACAAGATATCCATTTCATCTACTTGAGAGGGAAAAGGCCAGAGAGAACTAGAAGGACAAGCAAACAGAGGTAATAGCCTCAAGTACCAGTCAGAAGAGGAGGCACTGACTTGGGTAGGAAGTGTTGGTTCTCAACTATTCCCAGTGGTCAAAGACCAATGCCTCAGATGAAGATGTGCAAGCTACCATTTCTTTAAGAATACATCAACCCTACCAAAATACAGAGTTTTGGTACAGACAGTGCATATCAGAGCTCATCAGGCAGAGGCTCAAGATGCAGAAAAATGGCCAGTGCAATGTAAGCAGTATGCTCTTCACAGGAAAAGAGAAATGCCAAATTCACAAAAGATGGTTTTCTTGGGGGGGGGTGTCTTCCTTTGTAATTGTAGTGTGCCTAATTTAAAAGTGTTTATTACTTTTAAAAATTTATAGTAAAGTCAAACAGCAGACTTAATCCACAACTGGTCCTAACAATAGCTCACACTACCTTTAGAAGCACTCACTGCTTCTATTAAGTAGGTTTTAGAATTCAGCACAAACTAAAGGAAAAAAAAACCTCTTTTTCTTTACAAATTCCCACAGATTTAATTAAAAAAAAAAAAAAAAGAAAGAAAGAAAATCCTCAAAATGAAAAGCCTAATGGATTTCTCACCTTTCACCACAAATATAGTAGAAGCTGAACCGTGGATTTAAAAATGTGAACCTAACAATAGTCTCATTGGAAGAAAGAAGAAAACAAATAAATGATCTGAAGTTTGGGTTCAGTACAACCATCTAAGAAAAGCAGAACAAGGAATTAGGTAAGTATATGAATGGCTAACGAGCAGATTTTTAATAAAAGGGAAATAGAAAGAGTCAGAATACAGTAACAACACAAAAACCCCAAATGCTTTATTTAAGCAAAGCAACATGAAGCCCAAACTTCTACTAAATAAGTAACTCACCTAAATTAGAGGTGAGTATTTTTAGTCAAATGATCTGTCTCAAGCAATGATTTTTTTTTTTTTTTTTTTTAAAAGAGTATCACAATGCTGTCTAGGCTGGCCTAGAAGCCACACCCTTCACCCCCAACCTCCTGGGTAGCTTTATAAAAATATGGGCCAAAGTGCCTAGCAACATAAAAGATCTCTTTAGCCCAGAGGCAAACAATAGCTCCTGCAATAATGTTCCCTAAGTCCTCTAACTGGGGGAACTTCTAGCGGAGCATTCCTTAAGACCTACAGGACTTATAAAACACTGCGCTAGCATTTGTTATGCCATACCTTCTTGGGCTTCGGGACCGCTCCCTTTTTTCTCTGCTGCTTTCTTTTTCTTCCTTATCCCTCTTATCTTTATCTTCATCTTGTTTTTTCAGAGATGCCAATTTTTCTTGTTCAATCTGCAAGCACACAGGTGAATGATGAGAACACGCAATCCAAACACCATGCACTGCATAAACATTGGTGCTGTAACATTTCACCAGCCCTGGTTTCAGATGTGTTCACATGTTCTCAACTTTTACAACATTTTTTCACTTCTTGTGACTTTATAACTGCTGCCTATGTGAGAATTTGCACATACTTTTTAGATACTTAAGTTATATGTGTTTGTACTTTAAGAATTGAAAAAAGAATATACTCAATTCCTGGCCTCGTATAAAATGGCACTCTTCAAAGGTGTGGTAAGCCACAACTCAATGTACAAACACAGAGCAAGCCACAGCCTCTCCAGATCACAGAAGGTGAAAAATCTCAAAGGAAACAAACAGAAATTCTGAAGGCAAACCATCAGTCTGCACACCATTTCTCCTGTCAATATGAAAAGGGTTATTACTTGTCGCTGTTTGATTTCCTCCTTCTTCAACTCTAGGAAAGCAGAGGGGATGCCGGCGATGTTCTCTTGTGCACTCAACAGCAGGGGCCACAGTTCTCCCATGAATTCTCGAGCGTTTTTCCCATTCAAAAATCCAGTCAGGTTGATTTGCATCATTTTGGAATCTGGATTCTGCAAAAAGACATGACAGGAAGAAAAAGAGTTTACTTCAAAACCAACCAACCAACCTAAAACTCATTTAAATTAGTATTTAAGTCTACCATAAGGGGCTTAGATACATATATGCTCTACTATTTTAAAAATACTTTTCTCTAGTTGCTTCTTGGTAATGTAATCTCTAGATAATTAAATTCTCCCTCACTGAACCAAAAGCATCAGAGCTGCCTTTGTGGATTCCCTAAGTATTTAGACTGTATGGCTGTTAGTGGGCCTTATACATTTATCAACTTTAACAACAATCATAGAACATCTATAAATTCTTGCATCTACTAACAAGTATTTGCTTGGCTGGAAAACTTCCCCCAACAAGAAATTGAAAACATACATAACACTTCTCTTTACATTACAGGTGACTTTCTATGAAGTGTCTAACAGCTAGTGCTCAGTTATAAGAACTAACAAGTTATGCATGCACTCTGTAACTTCTCAAGACTAAGCTAGAAGCCTGACTACTGCACATGACAACCTATTACTAGCAATGCCACAGGTGCTCAACTGTCCACAAAACTGAGTCAAGATTTCTAAAAAGTAATTGGGTTTTTAAACACTAGATCTGTTGGTCAAGCAACAAGGTCCGTATAACAAGCACAGCTCAATAGCACAAAGCAAGTACAGATTCCAGGTGTCTTCAGTTTCTTCTTGGAACCTTGGGGGTTTGGAATCGCCAAGTCCCCTGTAGAGAAAGATGTTCCCTTGGCTTGCTTCCGACTCCCTACTGCAACTCAACCACCTTGAGTTTAATGTTATATCATTTATCTAAATTGCAAAAGACGAACAAGCAATAATGAGTACACAACCACAAAAAAAGAAAAGATTGTTTAAAAAGTTCTAAACTTTAATCTCATGCTCACTACAAGGGGAATACTACCAGATATTTAGGTTTTAAAAGTATACTAAAATTCAAATCAGTAAAGCATTTCTCAGTAAAATCTACCATTAAACATCATTTAAAAAACATTCTCCCATGTTTCTGGTCTCTACGTGAAATAAATATACTTTATAAAGTACAGTCTTAAAATTAAGTCTTTAAAAACATTAAAAGCAAAATAATCACCATATTGTTTTTAAAAATGAAATACCTTATATCGGTTGGAATGTAACTGTTCTGTCAAAATTCAAGCATGAACTCTTTGGGAAAAGGAGTAATGTAAAAGTAAATTCACATTGGTATATTTACCAAAAGGTTATATGGTACATCTTTACACTGTCCTTTGGGATGCCATGGCAAAATAGCAAACTATGTTATAACAAATGTTTTAAAACATCACTTGTATTATCTTGTATCATTTCATTTGGAAGACAGGAACAATTATGTTAACTGGCTTGAACAGGACTGTCTGTTCATCTGCCTCAAGTTTAACTAGAATGTAAACAAAATCCTGCGCCTAAATTCTAAGTGGTAACCAGCTGACTTGCAACTACAGCTGAAGACTTTAGCTCTTTTAAAAACATCATCCAATCAAATCAGAATCGCCCCTCATGCTTCAAATAAATGTCCATCTCAAAAGCTACTTTAAAGAGCAGTATACAGCTTTACCAATTGCTCTTGTTTGTGTTTTGTTGTTGTTGTTGATGTTCGGCCACTTTACACAACTCACCTCCAAACACACACTGCGTCATCAAGGGAGTTGGGTCAGAGCGACATTGGGACACTCACTCTGCTGTGACCTAATAAGGTGATGGTGCTATACTTCAGACGCAAGGAATAACTTCCATTTTGGTTCAGGCCTTTTAAATCATAAATCACATTATCATTAGAAAATTGCTGTCAAAGTAACTTAACATGTAACAGCAAAATTACAAACAGTAAGTTTGATTTTTCACCTGTGTAGCTTTTCAAAACTATGTACCTTCACTAAACTTCCAGCCTTAACAGTTGTTTACAAAGTGAATTCTTTTCACAACAAACATTGTAAAATAATCCTTCTATATTTGTATTCCATAGAAAAACTGAGTTTCCATAGATTCACAAATTATGTCACATATTCAGAAAAAAGAGCCATCTGTATATTAGTACCTTCACTTCCAGCTGGTTGAATATAAACTCAATCACAACATCATCTTCAAATCCAAGGATTTCAGTTACTCTTTTTGTTATCCAAGGCTTTATAACCTCCAAATTTACTTTGCTCATGTCCACCTGATGAAACATGCAAACCATTAGTTAAGCACAAGTTCACTGCAGTAAGAACCCCAGTTATACTTTATCTAAATATTTCTCTTAGCTTGTGTACATTTAAAAAATGTTCCTTCCATGCTCATTCTTTGGTTGCACTCTGTATGTGGTGGCAAATGTGCAACCATGAATTCATCCACTCACATTTTACACAAGAGTTACAGTTCATCTCCCAAACCCTAAAATGCAACAACTGCTACAAAAAAGGGGCATGGCCCCCACCCAGAATACCTTTTTTTCTAGGCATTCTGCAAATTTCAGCTGCTTGAGGAGTTTCTTCTGTTTGTTGCTGAACCGATTATCCTGCTCCGCACTTGTTCCCTGAAGGAAACAAACACATGTCCTAAGAATACAAGATTAAATTTTCCTTTTCTTTTTCAAAAAATAGTGCACACATGTCGAGGTCAGAGGACAACTCTGGAGAGTGGGTTCTCCCCTTCCAGCATGTGGATCCCAGGGATGGAATTCAATTCATTAGGCTTAGCAACAGGTGCCTTCACCCACTCAGCCACCCTGACAGCCTTAAGAAAAATCAAACAGTGAACATGTGGTGAGTGCTCTCTATGAAGTAGTAGCTGCTGTCATGGCCAAGGGGTTTGATATACCAGGACTAAAACCCGTCCAAACGATGTAATCCTTAGGGTTGGAGACTGTTTTTTTACCAAAGTGGCCATTAGTACTGTTTGCTTTTTAAACACTCAGGTGGATACAAAAGTAGTAGAGGAATTTTCACAACTAAAAAGAAAAGAAAAATAAAGTAATTTAAGACCAGCATGGTCTACAGAGAGTTCCAGAACAGTCAGAGTAGGTACACAGAGAAACCCTGTCAATACTCCCCGCCCTTCTTGCACACACACAAAAATCTTAGCTTCTTTTGTTAGCTCAGGCCAGCCCTTAAACTAACAGCAATTCTCCGGTCTCAGTTTCCCAAGTGGTGGCTTGAATCCCCATACTGGTGATTACAAAATTTAAAAAAACAAAACAAAAAAAACTTTATTAGTTTCCACTTATTTTATTTAGTTATGTTTGCACACTGTTCCCAGCTCCCACACACAGTGGCTGGCCTGAAACTCACTATATGGATCAGGATGGCCTCCAACTCAGGTATCTAGCAGCCTGGAGTAGAGCTGGGATTCACAGCATGTGCCAGCAGCATGGCCTAACCCTTCGCTCTTAGGGCCTATGCCTAACTTCCCACCACACTGACGCAGTTCTTCTCACTTCATTTCCTTTACCACATTATAACGCCCTTCTAGTTTTCGGGGATTTTAAAAAATAGTTGTCTATATTATGTCTGAGCCATAGCTATTAAATTCTTTAATAGCAAATAAAGGTTGTGACTTTTAAACACCATAACTAATATTCAGATATAAGATGCACATCCTTTTCTAAATGCAGCTGACATATAAGGCACCTATATTTTAATATTATTAATGTACATCCTTAACAAGTAAAACATAGTAACATTCAGAGTAAGACACCCTGTCTACATCAATGTTAAGTTTGACTTGTGTACTTCTGCAGGTGTTTAAATGAGAAAACTGAAATATTTCAAGTTTTATTCTCTTCCCAAATAGTAGCACTGTTTGCAAGAACACCCCAAGACTACAATGCTTCAGCCTGGTGTAACTTTAAAAATGTGGAGAGAGGCAGGCAGGAAGAGTTTGGCACTGAGGGTAGCCTGGCACACAAATTCCAGTAAGCATAGCAAAACTGAAGGCTGGAGATATACACCTCCGTGGTGGCAGTGTTTACCCAGCACGCAGGAAGCCCTGAGCTTAATCCTAACACTATATAAACCAGGTATGGTGGTGCCTGTAATCCTAGCACTACGGATTTGGAAGGTCAGAAGTTCAAGGTCATCTTTAGCTCCACAGTTTGAGAGAGATACAAGAAACCCAGTGTGTTCCAGAGTTACATGCCAAGGCCAAAAATGTGGGACACAGTAGTGCACACCTATAATCCAAGCACTGGGAAGTTTAAGAAGACCAGAAATTCTCAACTACTCTGTTCAGGTCACTGATTCTTTCTCAGAGAGGAGAGGAAAGAATGGGGTTGGGGTGAATTATTGAGTTAGAAGCCAGGTGAGGTGTCGTGCTTCTGTAATCCTAAAACTTCAGACAAGAGCAGAGGATTGGGGTTCAAGCCAACCTTGTTACATAGCAAATCTGAGGACAGCCTGGACTACAATGAGACTCTGTCTGGAGTCCATGAAAATTAAACCATCAAAACTCAGAGCAGGAAGGCAGCAGTAGTTCCTCCAGGCTCAATTAAATATGGAAGTTACTGGCTCTCCGATTTGAAATCTACGGACTGGCTTGCTGGCTGGCTACAGTTCCTTGGAAAGTGATCAAGAAAACTTTTGTTTGGGCTGAGAATATAGCAGAGTGGCAAGAGCAGTTAGCTAACATGTAGAAAGGCCTGGGCACAGTCTCTAGTACTGTAACAACAAAGTTATTGGTTGGGTATGATATCCTATCCTAGCACTCAGGAGGCAGAGACAGGAGGGTCTCTGAGTTGCAGGTCAGCCTGGTCAACATAGTGAGTTCAGAACCAAACAGTTTTGTTTGAGAAGGTAAAACCCTGCAGTAGTTAGTATGTCAGCTCTGCAAGTACTCTACCATGTCCCGAGAACACACAACCTAACCCTCTGAGGATGTTTTTGTGTGCAAAATCAGGGGCAAGGAATCAAAAATTAAAGCTGAATGTCTGGGGTGATAGGTATACTGATTATCCTCACCCGATCATTACATGGCAAACCTGCTACAATGCCACACTATAGCCCCCAATTATGTGTAACTACTGGATGCCAGTCAAAAGGTCAAAGCTACCAGGCTGTGGTGGTGGTGCACACCTTTAGTCCCAGCACGTGAGGCAGAGACAGGTGGATGAGTTCCAGGACAGCCAGAACCACAGAGAAACCTGTTCTCAAAAACCAAAACAAAATCCCTATTAAAGTACCTAGAAAGTGATCCAGAAAGGCTATAGCTGAATGGTTTAACACTTGGCTAACACATACAAAGCCCTGGGCATGGTCCCTAGTACTGCAAAAACAAAAAAGTTTTAAAGAAAAAAATGTTTTGGGCTAGGCTGGGCAGTGGTGGTGCACACTTTTAATCCCAGCACTCAGGAGGCAGAGGCAGGCAGATCTTTGTGAGTTCCAGGCCAGCCTGGTCTACAAGAGCTAGTTCCAAGACAGCTTCCAAAGCCAGAGAAACCCTGTCTCAAAAAACCAAAAACCAAAAAAAAAGAAGGAAAAAAAAAAAAAAAGAAAAAAAGGAGTGGTGGCCTACAACTTTAATCTCAAGGTTGACTCAGGAAACTGGTGATTTCTAAGAGTTCAAAGCCAGCCTGGTCTGCATACCAAGATCCTGTTAACTAGCAGGGCAGTGGTGGCTCATGCCTTTAATCCCAGTGCTTGGAAGGTAGAGGCAAGTGAATCTGTCTTGAAAAGGGAAAAAAATACTGTCAACAGCCTCCTTAAAAATATAATAGAAATTTACCTTACATGGCTGTTGTATATATGGGAAATGATTCACATCAAGTGCCCAACACAAGGGCACTTCAGTAAATTCAGGATACCATTTCTACCTTAAACCAAATTTCAGTCAGATTCTGGTTGGCAGTGTACTAGATAATTGATCTAAAATCTTAGCTCAAGGCTTAAATGCAGTCTACAACTCCATTAAGCCAGGTGTGAGGCAATGTCTGGAATTCTAGCACAAGGAAGGGCTCTGGCTGGGTTCAAGACCAGTCACAGTTAGTGAGAACCCAGTTTCAAAACAGCTGCTCCAGCAACCAACCCAGTGACAACAAAACCATCCAACCCTGGGACAAGACTACTTGGTTTAAGTAAATGTAAAGAGTAAACTTTTAAAAACTGGATTCTTTTCCGGATTCTGTCCAATTTCAAAGGAAAACTTCGTCTAAAATAGACTCCTCAGAACATTTTGCATTCTTCATTCATTCAAACTACTTCCCACTAGAAATAACTGAGAAGCCGAGCAGTGGTGGGGCATGCCTTTAATCCTAGCACTGGGGAGACAACTCAAGGCCTATTATAGAGTTCCAGGAACAGAAAAGCCAAACACCGAGAGAGAGAGAGAGAGAGAGAGAGAGAGAGAGAGAGAGAGAACTAATAGACAAGTGAAATTGCTTTTAAGTGTAACTTCTGTGCCGTAAGAACTTGAGTATTCACTATAAAATACAAGCTCGCTTGAAATTACCACACTCCAAGTATGTAACTCTCTTAGTGCTTGTATGATCTAAGAAACAAGTGGCTAAGCGCTTTAGGTTAAACACTTGGAATAATATTGTGAATACGTAGTTTGCAGTGCCAAGAGATTCAGAGTGCTGGAGAGGGAACCCAGAATCTTGCTCATGTTAGACATACGTACCCAGCCATAAGAGGCTTCCTTATTAAATTAACCCTTTCCCTCTAATTTTTCCTTTAATAACTAACACAAACTGCAAATTACATGCTCGATCCAGGGAATGCAAAATTAAGCCGTATTACAGTTAGCAGGCATTTAAACTTTTACCAAGCAGTGTCTATACGGTTTTTCTCTGCGTTTAAAAGAATGAGCAAACCCTAACGGGATCGTTGCTACTCAACTTTTAATCCTACAAGTGTCCGTTCCCATCCACCTGGATATAGACCTGCAGCAAATTTCCTTCACGGGTGGGTGGCTCCCACCTAATAAACTGCCTTAGCCTGGGGTGGACCAACTCTAACAAGGAAACGTCCCCTGCCTGGACCTACGATAGAACCACAGGACCCCAAAC